CTCAATGAAAATTCGCAGATCATAAATGTTATAAATTATAACTGATTTGAAAAATATGATTCCTTTCTACACAGGAATTACCAAATTTCATAAACCTAATTTAAAAACTTCAAATTTAATTTAATATATATATAATATATATATATATATATATATATATATATATATATATATATATAATTAAATTTGAATGTTTTAGGATTCCTAATTTTGAAACATGGTAATTCAGGCACCTAATAACAAACATAAATTTAAATCAGTTAATTATATATATATATATATATATATATGTGTGTGTGTGTGTGTGTGTGTGTGTGTTTGTGTGTGTGTGTCTGTGTGTATACCGGATGTAACAGCATAACTGTCAATTCCCAACATGTTTAATGTCTAAAAAAACCACTGAGTTACCTTTTAACAGTTTTTCAGATAAAAGTTTTAGCCATCTTGAATCCATTTCTCGTAATTTTCTTAGAAAAACCTGTTATTAAGATAGGATGAGAGCATTTTAAAATCGTTTAAAATGTCAGCCCCAATCTCTTTCCACCTGAGCAATGGTGAGAGGAAAAAGATCATTCAAGTCTTCAGTACCAACAGACTCTGGCTTCCATATTAAAAATCCATTCAAGAAGCATCAAGAGAACGCTGAATAAGTTTAACACTATGAGCCCTGACCACCGTTTTACCGGTGGTAGATGAAAAGGACTTAATGCTCTGCCACCGGTTGAACAGTGGTAGAGAAAAATGACCTAATGCCCAGCCATTGGTTGATCGGGAGGTAAACACTTCTGGCTATTTTTATATCTACCGCGAAATGTTACATATCAATTATTTGCGAATATTTTGTCAGGAGCTCAGGCAGAACTAAGGGCTCAAAGGTTTCAGTTTTTTTTTTTTTTTTTTTTTTCATTCCGACATAAAGAAGTCGAACCGACCATCCCGTCGGTGAAACGCGTCGGCTTTTCGAATTTGTCTCATCATCTACTCTTTTGTTTCGGGTACTATGTAGTTATCCTACACGCATGCTTAACCTGGTACTTATGAAAAGGTATCGTACACATTTGTAAGTCTACTATTTGTCCATGGATTTTATATTGCCGTCACATCTGGTCCGATGCTTCTGATATGCATTATGATTTTTTAATCGGTATCATCCCAAATAAGCAATACTATTAATTAAGACATGTTATTTACAAAGGTGTGGAAGTATAAGGAACAGAAACATGAATAATGAGCGGGAAGAGGGAAGAATATCAGTATGACAGTAGAAAGCGATTGACATTGCATTTAGTTTTTTGCAGATTGCAGTCAGCTGGAAAGAATGGACCCATAAGGGAGTTCCACAAGCGTGAAGTGCGAGAATAGAAACTGTTGGTATAGAACATACGGCTAGATCTCGCCAGCTCACCTGCAAATTGATATGATATTGACGCCACTCTCGTACTGCGTTTAAATTTTCAAAAAAAAAAAATATCTGGGTACCGTAGCAAAGTGAACTGTAATGCCTTTTATTCACTTGCTACCTTTTGTGAATTGTAAAAAGATTGTAATTAGAATCAATGCATTTTGCAAGAATCTGCTCCGTTTTGCTCGAAATATGAAATGCGCTTTGAAGACATCAATTTATATCCAATGATGTGATCAACTTCACGTAGCCTTATATGTTATAATGGAAAGTCCCACACTTCCTATCGCCTATGTGGACTAACAATACCAGTAGCTATATATAGTGAGCACAGGATATACCTGGGGCCTGCCACCCGATTCCCTGTTTTTCAGTAGTGTACTCTCTTTTACAATAAACCTCTTTTATAGACGCGCGTGTTGCTGTTCCTTCACTCGAGTACCACGTTTGTATGTTTGTAACCTCTTTAAGGATACAACTCTATGTTACTAATAGGCATCTTACTTAACTGGTTTGTGCAACTTTCTGTATGGTCGTAACATAATTTCTCCGTAGAAATTCTTGATAAATTTTTTTTTTAAATTTGCAATGTTAAATAATTAATGGCCACCTCCCCACCAGCGTAACGTAGATTCCCTGTGGCTTTTCTATGAATATGTTCATGGTAATCGCTCTGCTGGACTTTAGACAATGGTATCGATACTTTACAAATTCAAGCGTCGCACAACTAAATTGACGGAAAGATCATTTTACAATTGAAACGCTTAAATGTAACCGTAAGTTCTATGTTAGTAGTTTCTTCATTCGAGCTTCTTGCTCGTGGAAGTCTCTTACGGCTTCTTACTTTCCAGAAAAATTTGATTGAAAAGTTAAATGTAATGCCAATCGCTATCTTCTGCGTTCCTTATGCATATCCTTTTAAAGCTCTATCTCTATCTCTCTCACTCACTCTCTTCTCAATAATGTTTCCTATTCTCATATCCTTCCACACCCGGTAACCCCTTGAGTCATAATGGCTTTATTGCGTTGCTTGATGTGAAATGCTAAAAATAAAGTTATGACAAAAGGATTACAACGTTAGAATTTAAGTAATATTAAAAAAATCTTGGAAATTTCGGTCTAATTTGTTTTGGCATCATTTGGCACCACCATTTATAGGGATAACATTTATTTATTTTCAGAAACATCCGTTCTAATTACAAAATCTGCGGAAAAATCAGTCTTTAACCGCCTTATTTCCGGAACCCTGTTTTCACACAAATACACTAAAATTGTTGTAAATCCGTTAAAATGGTTGATTGATTCGTTTTTTACGGTTTATCAACTCTTTGCAGGTTATTTAAAGCCAGAACAATATTTTTTTTAGATTGCATCAGTTTTCAGGACAGGTAATAATGGTTTACTGACACAGGTTCGGCTATTGATTGATAGATTCGTTTATTTAAAGACAGAAAATATTTTTAGATTTTAAAAATTTTTCAGATAATAATGCTTTAGTGATAAATGTCTTACTAATTAACCCATAGGTGGGGACAGTGGTGGATTAATACCTAACTAGAATCTGATAAATAAAAAGAAAAGGAATTATAACGAGGATATCAAGTGGGGGTTCAATTCTGTATTACAATCAACATATAAAATGGTCCCTCTTTTTGAGGCCACGAGAGTTTCCAAACGTTTATATTCCAGGGAATGTAAATAAATGTAAAATTCGCTTTTTGAAGGTTATTAACCCTTTGCAGGTTATTTAAAGCCAGAAAATATTTTTAGATTCTATGAATTGTTTTTTTTTTTTGAGAGATAATAGTTTAGTGATACAAGTTTTATTATTAACGCATAGTTACCAGGATTCATACCAAATCAGAATTTAATAAACAAATAAGAAATTATAATGTGGATCTAAAGTGGGGGTTCAATTTTATATTACAATCTGTATGTAAACTGATCCCTCATTTAGTGGCGACAGTAGTTTCTATACATTTATATTCAAGGGAATGTAAATCAATCTATAAAACATGCCTGCGTAGCATGTCAGTATTTTAGTGCCAGTTTGATTCGTTTTCTACGGCTTATCAACCCTTTGTAGGTTATTTAAAGCCAGTAAATATTTTTAGATTGCAAGTATTTTGTGGGGTGGGTGAATAATAATGGTATAGTGATACAAGTCTTATTAATTAAACGATAGCTGTTATATTCACTTAAGCGGAAATATCATTGGGGAAGGCATGAATCCACCTTTTCCACCTCCTTCATAGTCCAGCTATGAACTGTTACCCTCGTAACTGAACAATCTGAAACCCCAGTTAGTAAGAAACGCCGCTGAAGTGTAGAGAGGAAGAGTTTATTAAATACACATGATCCAAAAGATGAGTACAAGTACCCGGTTTCTCGTTGGGTTTATCTAACTTGCCCTGCAAAAGGACCATAAGAATAATAGGACATCTCACAGAATTTAATAATTGTAGACATAACAATAAATAAATAAATGGTAAATTCTGTCTCTGTGTCAGTGTGTCTGAAACCCGTCTATGTCCGGCCCTACATGGAGATACCCTTTTGGAATCAGAATGACCCCGGGATTGAAATCTGCCCTTCATTTGGTTCTTGAACATCCAGCGTTGGGATTTGTGTCCGGATGAGAAGGGAACATTTAAAAATTAAAATTTTTAAAATAAATGAAAAAATAATAGTGATTTTAAAAGACTTTAATTTATATTGAGTCTAAAGCAAACAAAAATTTAGTTTTAAATTCAGTTAAGAATATCTCTAAATACTTTGCCAACTGAAGAAATCAATTTTATTTCTTAAAAATTGCAAGGAATCAGAGTTAAAGGGAGAGGTTTTGTGACGCGGAGTTTTGAAGTTTCGCAGAGATTGTGATTTGAAGAACTAAGCTCCATCGAAATTCCACGGAGTTTGTAATTTGATGAACTTAATTTTTGGATCTACATTGGAATTTTCACCCACATCAGTCTTTTGGCCGGAATTGGTTTTATAGCCCTAATCAGAGTTAAAGTGAGGTTTTGAAGTTCCATGAAGAGAATTGAGGAATTCAAAGTTATTATTAAATATTTTTATCGTTGCTGTTTTCTAAGCTAGACCAGAGGTCCTTTTAGTTTTGAGACGGAGGCCCAGTTAACCCTTCGCAGAAGCAAATTTAAATATCTACAAGAAGGGCGGCTTTTAAACTAGTTAATAATAGATGAAAAAAAAGGCTTGGAGAATTTAAAACGCTCTGGATATATTAACGTTAAAAAGTATGATAAGAGTATATGGATGAAGGGACAAAACAAAGAGAGATGGTAAAGGGCAAAAGGGATTAGAGCTACAAAGAAAAAAAAAGGAAAATGTCTGAAGGTTCGGGAAAGCCATGAACATCCAGGACTTGAAAGTAAATAGCAGATAAAGAAAAATGGCGTAGTTCAATGCAGACTGAAAATAAATAAATAAAATACCTACTCAGGTTCTGTTGAAGTCATCGACTTGGAGGAAGACGATCAGAATAAAAACAAGGAGACATCAAATCCCCAAATTGAATTCTATGAGAATAAAAAAAGAAAAAAGAACAAGCGACGCGTACAATTTTATCTTAGGGAAG